GCCGGCGCAGCAGCAGCCCAGGAGGGCTGCGAGGGTGGCAGAGCCTTGCCCTTCCTTTGCCAGTAGAGCTGCCCCTCTGGGAGAAAAGGGGTGGGAGCTCAGCCCCCTGCTCTGGGGAGTCCTGGGGGTGGGATGGGGTGGCTCAGGCAGAGGATGGCACTGCTTGGAGAGGACGCTGCCCGTGCTGGGTGGTACCTGTACTGATGCTGTGCTGGGCTAGGCTCTGTAGCTGGGCTTGCTGCTGCTCCCCACGCCCCGCCAACCCAAAGACATAGGCGAGTAGCGCCTGCGTGTAGGGGTTGTCCGTGGCCGAAGCCTCCAGGCATTGCAGGGCTGAGCTCACCTTCGGGTCCTGGCACGGCACTGGAGTCAGGAGGCAGCCCACGGCTGTGGGCATCGCTCAGACTCTAGTTCTGCGCAGTGAGAGCGGGTGCCCCCAGGTCTGGGTGGGAGGTGGACTCCCTGCCCCAGCACGTGTCCTCACCCTACCAGCCCCCTTGGAAAGATGGGGTCATCCTCACCAATGGGGACAGCCCCAGCTCCAGCATCGAAGCGGTGACATAAGCCGACAGCGAGAGCTCGTCCGAGACACCACCCTACAAAGGGGACAGCGGGAGACGGGTCTGGCTGTGCCACGCAACCAGCACGGGGACTCCCCCACTGCCTAGACCACACACCGGGGACATGCTGGGGCCAAGTTGGCTCCGGCCATGTGTCCCCATGTCCCACTCCACTGACCCACCTGCAGGGCGTTGTTGAAGAGCTTCCCCACGCTGCGGAAGCAGCCCGTCTCCCGCTGCTGCTTCTGCAGCCAGCGCAGCGCGTCTGTGATGTGCCGCTCCTCGATGGCCATGTAGGCTCTGGCTTGCCCGAAGGACTTGAGAACAAACGCTGTCAGCCTGTGAGCCCGAGAGACATGGGAGGGATGGGTGAGCAGGGCTGGGGTACGCTTGGCGGCCAGGGGGTCCCGGGATGGCTGATCCCCAGAAGGATGCTGCTGCACAGCCTGCCTGAGCCTTGGCGGTCCCTCACCAGGTGTTCCCGCTGGTATCACTCTTCCCAAAGGCACTGTACGAGCCGTCGCTGTGTTTGTAGAGCAGCTCTCGCTGGTATCCTGGGGGAGGAGGAGGGGATGAGGCTTTACACCATGGTCTTTTTACACCCCTGGGGGACCCAGAGGCAGCCTGGAGCCCAGACTCACCCCGCAGCACAGGTAGAAAATGGGAAGGGGTGATGGGGTGGGGTGGTGTCCCTCAGCAGCAAGGCAGGCTGGGACAGGAGAGGAGGGGAACGGGGACGCTCACCGCTCTGCAGGAAGCCCTGCGCCTTGGCACGGATGTCGGGGTGCAGCTGCCCGCTTTTCTCCAGGTACTGCTGGATGTAGATGTTGGGGGCGAAGCGGACCATGTTCTGCTCCCCACAGCCATAGGGCATGGCCAGGAGGCGGTACAGGTTCTGCACACCGTTGCCCATAATGTCACCTGTCCCAGGTGAGGAGCACTGTCATCAGCTGTGTCCCCTGTATTCCCTCCCACCTCAGCTTCGGGTGGTCCCATGTCCTGCTGAGCTTGCACCATGGAGCTCTGCACCCTCCATGTCCTCAGTCATCCTCCGTGCCTGCCTGTCCCTTACCCATTATGGTGACGTGGGCCCGCTGGGAGCCCTCCAGGATGTTTGCAGGAACCTCCAGGGAGATTTCTTCAGCAGCTGTGGGGATGGAGGGTAACAACAGTGGGGATGGACCCTTCCTCCTGGCCTGGCCCCATGGTACCCTCACCCACCCCCTTTCTGCCCTGATCCTCTGAAGGCTGAGGTGGGACACGTCAACTGGGAGCCTCTGTGGACCCTGGGCCTTGGCTCCCCTGGCCTGGAGGCCCTTGTGACCAGTGTCCCTGCCCCATGTCTCCGTGTCACTGCTGGACACTCCAAGCTGGTCCTACCTTCCTGGCAGAGCAGGGAGTTGTGTGCCTTCTCCACCAGGATCCCGCCAGGCTGTAAGGAAGCAGCATCAGAGTGGGTCAGGAGAAGGGACCGGCCGTGTCCCCTTGTCCCCCAGCGTCGTACACCAGGCTGGGGGCTGGTGCTGTCCCACTCCCAGTCCTCCCGCTGCACACCAAGGGCTGCTTAGATCCTGTCCACCCATCCCACTTTCCTCCTCCATATCCCATCTGACCTGCACCAACAAGGGCTTTATCACGGTGTCCACGCGCCCTTGGGCTGGCACCACAGGCATCTCATTGCCACAGAGCTCCATGGAGCTGAGGGCCTGGGTGCTGATGGTGATGTTCACCTCCCCTGCAGATGCAAGCAGGGCACTCAGTCCGCACAAAGCCCCCAGCCCACACTACCGCCTCACTGATTTTTATCAACCCTGGGGCTTTGTATGGGGCTGGCTGGGTTGGGATAGGGACCTCCATGTTGAGGAGCATTGCTGGGACGCAATGGGGAGGGTGAGAGTGGAGCGGAGCAGATCTTCCCAGGTGGTATTGCATCAACTCCCATGTTCCCTGCCCACTCCATCCCCTGAGGGGTTCCCCAGGAAGAAGGGCAGAGGGTTCCATACCCAGGCTGGTGGCTCGCATGCCCCACCGGAAGGTCCTCGCTTCATCTGCGCAGATGCAACCACCATACACCTCATCTGCACTCGCCGACACCTCCAGCTCTGCAGACTCTGCCAGCGTCACCCGAACCTGCCGGACCATGGCCATCAGCCCCCGCCAGACCCTAGACCCAGGGTCCCCTCCCCGGCCCCACTCACCCGCAGGCACTGTCGCAGATAGTTGAAGACGGTGGCCACGAGGGTGAAGGCTTCATGGCGGACCACAGCGTAGGGCAGCGCCAGCTCCACGAAGAAGGGCTTGAAGGCCGTGAGGGTGGTGGAAGGGGCCAGCCCCAAGCCCTGCGGTGCCGTGCAGAACATCCCAGCTTCCCACTGGGTGATGGTATCGGGCACTGTCACTGTCACCTCCTCAGAGCCCCCATCCCTGTGGGGTGGAGAACATCGTGACACCATCCCACCGCATCCACCCACAGCTGGTGCCATCCCCAGCTGGGCTGGCTCTCTTCCTATGGGAGAAGGAGCCATTCTGAGGTCCCCAAACTCCCTCCATGTAGGAGGAGAGGTGGGGAGAGGACCAGCTCCATGGGGACCATCCTCGCTCACCCCACAGGGACCAGGTCCCACAGCCACGTCTCTGGGAAATATGTCCGGGTTTCCGATGGCTCTTCATGTTCAGCGATTTCTTGGACACCACTACCTACTTTTTGGACATCAGTTTGTTTCCACGCATAGGTGACAAAAGAATCAAAGCCACCTGGAAAAGGCAGAGCAGAAGTTAGGGTCCACAGGTGTCTGCATCTCAGTTGGACCTCGCCCACAGGCAGCCCAAAAGTGACCCCTTTTCAATCCTCTTCCATCTCTTTGATGCCAAGTGTATTTTCAGGATGGCTCCAAGTTCCCGTGAGCACACGGGAGACAGGACTGGGCACCAGCTCTTTGCTCTCTTCTCCCGAGGGGGCTCAGCAGAGCGAGCAAGCCGAGGGATGTGCTGACCTCTTGGACCTTGGGGACCCGCCATCCCAGGAAAGCCAATCACCCCTTTGCAAACATCACTGGTCTTGGCGTTGGTGAAAAGTTTCAGTGCTGCATTCTGTGAAAAAGAAAAGAGGTTGTCCTTCTCCAAAACCCAGCAGGAGAAATATCCCCATCCCAGAAGTAAACAGTCACAGAGCTGCAGAAGACAAGTGGGCAACGGTCAAAGCCTGGGATGTATGGGAAAGTCCTTTGCCACCAGTGTGGATTTCACAGGATACTGCTGTGCTTTGCTGGCACCCTGAGCAACCCACAGCCAGCTCCTTGATGAGGAGGAAACAGGAGGCACAGGCAGGCAAGGCCTCTACCTTAAATAACTTGTAGGTGTCCATCTGGGAATTCCTCCGCAAAGAATGTAAGTGATGCCTCCTTGGAGGGTGAAAGAAGTCTCGCTGTCTCGGTACAAGTGGGATGGTTGGAATGCCGAAGTCAGGGGGATAGTCCCAAGAAAATTCTGAACAGGGTGGTTGGTCCTGAATGCTTCTGGGGTAGTCAAATTCAGGGAGTACTTTGTAGACCTGGGAATAAACACATTAGGTATAAAACCAGCCAGGCACCTACCCCCTGCCCAGGAGTGGGACTGCCCAGGAGTTCATGGCTCCAAGTTCTGTAGGGGAGGTCCAGCCAATGCTCTTGCCCCTCATCCCCAGCTGCTCCCTGGGGCTGCAGAAGGGGCCCTGGGCAGTGCCACCACTCACCGCCTCTGTGTTGAGCTCAGCCTCGGGCTTCAAGAGCAGCACGCTGCGGTCCACAGCACGGATGGCACACAGGGATCCTGGAGCAGCCTTCAGCTCCAGCTGCAACGCTGAGCCGGGCAGAGCCCTGCCCTTCGAAAAAGCCATCTTCACCTGGGGAGGGACAGGGTCATCAGGGGGAAAGGGCAGGGGGGAGCCACCTCCCATGGAGGAGCATGACCAAGCCGTGGAGGTCTCTTCTAGACAAAGATAAAATTGAGCTCAAGGGTTTCGGGATCAAGGCATGGGTTACAGAGCCTGTGATGGTGTGATACATCTGGAGCAGGATGGAGCTCAGGGCATGCACCTACGGACAAGCCATGGTGTGATAGCCCCATCTCCAGCAACTTCATCTCACCTTGTTGGGAAAGCACTTGGCCACCTTGAGCTCGGTGCTGTCAGCCACCATCTCACCGTTGGGCAGCACCGTGTAGCCCAGCACCTTGGCCGTGGGTGCCAGCTCGGGGCCGATGGGCAGCTCCAGGGAGAAGGAGCCTCTCAGCCCTGGACCGTGGGGAAGGAGGGGAGATGAGGACCAGGCACAGAGAGCAGAGCCCTGCACAGCCTGTCCATGCCTGTGGACCTACCAGCCTCTTGAGGCAGCTCTCTCCTGAAGACAGTGGCAATGGTCCCCTTGGCCAGGACCTGCAGAGGAGGAGATGGAACAACTAAACTTGTTGTTGAACAGGGAACCAAAATGCCCTGATGGAGAATGGACCCAAGGGCGAGTGTCAGGATGGTTTTTGACCTTGACCAGTCTCCAAACCCCCCATGTCTCCCATTGGCACGCAGGTCCAACAGTGCCAGCAGACACCTTGACTAACAGCTGTAGGTCTCTCGGTCTAGCCAGGACAGATTGCTCATTGTCTTGTCCTCAGGGACACAGCCATGAACACAGCCACCCTAACACCCGCTGCCCAACCTCCCACAGCTTGGGGCTCACCAGGAAGACCACGTCCAGGCTTTCCAATTCAGCCCCCAAGGCCTCCTTGCTGAAGATGTAGTCCACCCAGAGCTTCTGAGGCTGGCCACAGGGCAGCTCGCTCTCCAGCTGGCGGATCCGCAGGAAGCTCCTGCTTGCTGAAAAGAAGGGCCTGAGGTACATGTAGGCATCTTGGTAGACAGATGTTGAGCCGTCGTTCTGGGTGTGAGCTGTCTTGTTGACATCACCCTGAGTGATGGAGGTAGAAATCAGGATGGTGGAGCCATCCAGCAACCTGCAAGGTGCTGGTTCCAGAGCAAGGCATTGCTGAGGCAGGCTTGGAGAGGTCCTATCACAGTACTGCTGGAAAAAGCAGCACAGGGACCCCCAAGGGCTGGGAGTTGGGTCACTTACACGCAGAGAGACCGTGCCACTCCAACCAGAGGTCTCCAGCTCGAAGGAGGCTCTCCCTGCTCTGTCTGTCAGGAAGGTCTGCCGCGTGTCTTTTCCTCCCCAGCTAACGACGAGCAGGAGCTGCTTCTGTGGCAGCACGGAGCCATCGGCTCCCTTCAGCAACATCTGCACTGGGAGTGAAGGCAACATGCCCCAGATTGGGCTGCAGGAATGGGGCACAGGGCAGGGGCAGGAGAGCAGCGTTGGGGGTCAGTGGGACCACGATTGTGCACAGGAGGGTGCAGGGGAGCCCTGTGGGTTGTGGGGACACCCCCATTACCGTCCCAGTGTAGTGAATGCCAGGCTTGTAGAAATCATCAGTATTTTCAAAGGTGACGGTGAGGATTTCGGGTAAAAACTTGCAGCTCTTGGTGTTTTTCAGCTCCAGCCCTGTGGAGAGGGAGTGGGGAGCTGAGGATGTTGCAGGATGTTGCTGCCAGCTCCCCTGTCAGGGTGCAGAAAAGGTTCCTGCACATTTTAGGTTTTCCTTCTGCAGCTGGCAGCTTTGAGCTTTTGAGCACAGTTCACACCTCCTACAAGAGGAGCAAAGCCTCTAGGGCAGGTTTTAGACATAAAGCCATGGCCCAGCTGGCTGTAGAGTCTTCTCAAAAGGTGCTTCACCAAAGGACCATGATGCAGGCCCACCTCAGTGCCAGTGGGCCTGGGACAACCCTAGTCTTCTCCTTTTTCTCTGAAGCAAGCCACTGGTGGTCATCCTGGTGGGACTGAGTGGTGGGTGAGGTGGATTATCTCAAAGAACAAAGTCACGCCACCAGAATGGGCGAAATCACTCCCTTGCATCCTAAGGACTCGACTCCCTGCTAGCCATGGCATCAGGAGAGTTGCTGAAGGGTGGTTTTGTCTCCTGGTCAGAACCAGGAGTACTGCCTGGCTCACACCCCACCTGCACCCGGTCCCCGTACACATGCACCTCAGAGTCACAGCGTTGCTTTTGGGCTTCCCCAGAGAAGATCAATACCCACGTGCATTTGAGTGCAAGCAGGGATGAATGCAACGCCCATTCCCAAGCAGGAGAGCACTGCTGTCCCTACCTGTCCCATCCTCCACCAGCGATGCCTGGACTTGGAGTTGCTTCTGGTACCTGGAGCTGGTCAGGCTGAAGGCAGACAACAAAACCTCTGTCGAAAAGCAGCCGTTCTTCTCGGTCTGGAGGGAGAGAGCCAGCCCCGTTAGCAGCAGTCTCAGGAAGGGGCTGTCCCAGCAGCATCCCCGCTCCCCAGCGTGCTCACCTGCCCGCTAACCTCGATGCAGTTCATCTCTTTCTGGGGGTGACTGGAAAGTATGTACACGAACCTGCTGTGCCTGAGGGGCTGGCACAAGCTGGCCTGGACCTTCCCCTGGACGGGCTTCCCGTAGGTGTACCTGTTGGGTGGGGGGTGGTGAGAGTGTTCCTGATGGACCATGTCATGTCAGATCCCTCATGCCCTCCCTCTTCCCTGTGCAGCCTGTTTTGGGCTCACCGTCCACAAATTTTCATCTGGAACTTCTGGTCCTTCTCCAGCACCACAGCGGGGAGATCAATGGTCATCTCAAACTTGGGCAGCACTGGGGGAGAAGCAAAAGGAGAGAGGGCTGTCACTCCAAGGACAATGGAGCTTGGGTGGCTGGATGTGGGGGGTAAGACATACTGCCCAGAAACACAAGCCAATATAGGCTCCCCCCCACCGTGCACCTCCCGACCACGGTCCCCACATACCATATTCCTCCACACTGAAGGAGTGTCTCTTCCCCCCCACCTCGATGGTGTACGTGCCCAGGGCTGGCTCTGCAGCCAGCGGGAGGGACAGGTCCACGATGGCCTGACGAGGGCTCATATCCCGCCACTGCGCCACGCGGTTCCCATGGGGATCCTGCACACAGGGACATATGGCGTCTGCACCCTGGGGACCCCAGCACCCCCTGATAAAACAGCCCATAACAGCATAATGCAGCCCTTATCATTAACAGCCCATAATAAGGGCTGCATTATGCTCCTCCTCTCCCAGCCATGCTGCCTTCCCAAGCCCACACTTCCCAGGAGCCCCTCTCTGCCCTCAGACTGACCTTCAGGAACACGAGGGGCAGCTGCAAGGCAAGAAGAGATGGTTAGAGGAGATGTTCATAGCCTTTCCTGGGGTCTCACCAGGATGGGGACACCTATGGAGCCATGGATGGAGTAGAGTGGGAATTTTTTGTGGGCTGCTGTAAACTTCCAGCCCTTTGGTTTTCTTTGGCATTGATGTTGAGACTGTGGGTTGGTCTGGCTGGGATTAGTGGAGGGCACTGCCGGCATGGCACGGAGAGGTGGCATCTCCTAGTGCCTTTGCAAGCAGCCAGCAATGATTCCACCTGGGAACCTCCTGCATTTCCAGAGACACAGCTGGTTGCTCAGGAGAGACTGAACTCACCTGTAATCCTGGTGTCTGATGACTTGATGGATATCAATAGCACTTTCCCTGCTTCCCATTCACCATCACTATGTCCCTAACTGAAAGCTTAAGTGGGCAAGTTCCCCTGTTCCATATTCAATTCTCTCTTTCCATACCCTGCTGAAACCTGCGTAAACAACACTGGACACTGCTGCCCCTGGGGAGCAAACACCCAGGCAGAGCTGGCTGGGGCAGGATTCCCAAGGGGAAAGGTGCTGGCTGACTCCGGCAGCTCTCACGGCTTGCCGAGACTGTAGGAGGGCCATGCAGATGAGCTCTGTCACCTCCCCGCTTCCCCAGTCCTGCTCTCACCTTCTTATTGCTGGGAGTGAAGTCTTTATCCAAAGAGACAATTCGAAACTTCACTGGAAGAAGAAACAGGGATGCAGGAGTGAGTGGTGGGTTCATGCATAGGGAGGGTGTTTCCCCATGGGGAAGGTGGATGGAAATCCACTCTGAGCTCTGCAGTGGGGCACTGCCCCCAAGCAGCACAGTCTTCAGTCTTGCCAGCATGTTCTGGCATTGCCCTGGGCCAGTGCAGGGGGTCCCAGTGCATCCTAGGATGAGCCATCCTGTTTCTGTGCAGGGTAGCACGGCTGAGCCTCCCGCCCCTCTCTCCCATCAGATCCTTCAGCCCAGAGCAGGCTAGTCCATCCTGCCCCCCCTCACCTTGCTGGCCAGGCTTGTAGACAGCCTTGTCTGTCTGTACAAAGATCCCAGGTTTCAGGGCTTTCAGCATCACCTTCTTCTTGGAGACATCCAGGGACTCTCCTTGGATTGAGACATGCAGGTCTACGATTTCCTCCTTCCCCTTGGAGGGAGCTGGAGCCTGTTGGGGGAAACACCAGGCACCAGATGAGGACAGGGCACATGCCATGGCCAAGATGCTCTGCTCAATCCCAGTGGCCCAGAGCACTCCTCGCACATCGGAACCCCTTCCCCAAGCCGGGGTCTGGGAACAAATATCCCCCCAACACTCTGCCCTAGCCTGCAGGTCTGCTACCGGGGATTATTTCAGCCACTGAATAACTGGGCTGAGTCTTGAGTCATTTGCCTGTGGGGTTGATGAGACCCTACCAAAATATGGGGAAGTCATGCCTGCTCCCATACTCCTCCAGCTGCAGAGGTGGAGGGCTGCACAGCAGTGTGGAGACCACAGCCCTGTGCTCAGAGGAGCTGGTGGGAACTGCTCTGCATGGAGGCAGTGGTGTGTCCCAGGCATTCCCTCTACGCTTCTGGCTGTGCACGGAGGGACACTTACGGGGAAGGTGATGTTCAGGTACAGGTGAGGCTCCTGGACTTTCCTCTCTAGCAGGGTGATGTTATGGGTCCCATCTGCTCTCTGCAGTTGGACGGTCACCTGGACGGGCTCTTGGAGGCCACTGAGATGGACCCACAGCATCGCTGTGTATGGATGGTAGATCACAGCAGGGAACGTGACCACGTAATGCCTGATAAGGAGAAGTGCTGGCATGAGAGATGTGGGAATGAGGCTTGATAAGCTCCTGGGTGCACAGAAACGTGTGCTGGGGTGTAGGGCCACCTCCTCCAGCCTCCCATTAACTCCCCAGCTCAGCAAGCAAAGGGTCTGCTTACACACAGGCTGCAAACCAAGCAACACCACCAATAAACCAGCCCAGAGCCACCAGCCCCAGCAGTGCCCAGGTGCCAAGCCTTTGATGCTCATGGGCAGGGACAAGCCATCAGCCTGGGCATTTCCACCCTGGCCAACAATCACATGCACAGGAAGGATTATCTCCCACCTATGCTGCCAAGGAGCCAAGACTGAATGCCCTCCCACTGGGCACAGACAGACAGACAGACACAGAGAGGGCTTACGGTGCCGCAGACACCCCAGCTGGGAGGTGCAGGATGAGCAGCAGCAGACTGGGCAGGGCAGCCGGAGGCCTCATGTCTCCAGCTGCAAATGGATGTCAGGGATGGCCACAGCCTCCTTCTCCACGTGCTGGAGTGCTGCAGACCTGCAGCTGCGCTGCTGCAGGCTCTGCAATGAGATCTCTGCTTTCCACCCAGCGAGCAAACAAGGGTTGGCAGAGGGATCTGGCATGGACCTGCAGATATAGCCAGGGCAATGTTTACCATCTGCCCACAACCTCCTGGGTTCAAGGCTTGGACAGATTTTTGCAATTTGAGGAAAGGGGCCCATAGGTTATAGAGGTTCAAAACCAGGGGACTCACCCACACACCAGTTTGCTGGGAAATGATAGCGGGAACGAGTTCCCCAAATGAGAGTAAGCAGCACATCATGAGAACAGCCTGTGAGTTGGGGGCAATTTCTCAGAAAGGCTTGTTTCCACGTATTTTGAATTTAGCCGAAAGTAGCTATCCGGGCTGATTTCAGGTCTCAGGCTGTCTTTTTGCCTGGTTTTCTCCAATTTCATCACATCAGTTATGGGCACAGGAGCAGGACAGCGTTCGGCTGTCATACCAGTGCCACCTGCTCTCGTTCCTCCGAGCACTGTGCCTGGGAGTGGGACACTGGCCGGGGCATGGGCTGAGTTGCCTCTTCCTGTCCTGGTGGGAATTTGGGGAAGTTGAGGCAGCTCCACAACAGCTACACAGTGTCCTGAGTGCATCCCCTGTTCCAGGGTGTTGTAGTCCCCTTCCCTTTGGGGACATGGGGACAGGTGGAGGCAGCTCTGTGGGAAGCCATGGATGGGGCTGACCCCTTGAGCTCCTGTCCCCACACTCCTGTCCCTGCTTGGGTGTTGCTGGATGTGGGCCTTTGCTCACCTCCCTGCCCCACACGGTGTCGGTGTCCAGAGGAGGATGGTACCCACCACCCCTATGAACACAAGGGGGGGGAATGGCCCCAAGCCCGTCCTTGCACCCCAGGATGGGACAGGGGTCAGTGCCCCACCAGGCATCCTGGGGATGGTGCAACATGCCAAGGAGATTGGGGCCACTGGCACAGCGAGCCCTTTGGAGCATGGGGCAGGATGCAGTGGGGGCCATGAGCAGCATGGACAAGGGGAGATCGATATGGGAGCAGTGGTGGCCTCTGCCTCTCCGAGTGGTGCCTGTGGGGTCGCCAGGGGGAAACACTGCATGGGGGAGTTGTCATTAGGTGCTGCTGGTGGCTTTGGAGCAGGACATGGAGTGCGCTGTCCCCCAGCCCTTCCTGAGCAGGCACCACTGACCCCACGTTGTACTGTTTCTTCTGCTGCCTCGTCGCCCATGCACTGAATGCTCCCCGTGGTTTGGTCTCTGCTCTTTACACTCAGCAAAGGGAAGGTATGGCTCTGCTGACACATCATGAAGGCAGACAGGAACGCTGACCCTAATGAAGTCTATTTTGGGACACAGATCTGGCTTTGGTCAGGGGTGGTGGCAAAGAGCCTGAAGGAAAGAAGCTTTCTTGCAAGAAAAACATTTTGCCACTTCCACTTCCCTTATCTCACTTGCATTTTTCTTTATTTTCCAGCCTGGCTGAGCAGGGACAGGTGCAGGGCTGTGCTCGGGGCAGCTCTGAGCAGCCTCTCCCTGCCCAGCCACCTGCCTTGCACTGATCTCCAAAGGAAGCTCCCTGGGGCAGCCCCCGACCCACACAGGGTGACAGGGCTGCTGAGGAGTGGGGCTGAGATTCAGAGTTCTGTCTCAATGATGTTGCTGCAGGCTCCTGCCGGGTCAGGTGAAAGGGATGTAGTGGCAGGGATGGGAAGAGGCTGCCAGCCCTTGAGACCACGGCTGTCGATGGGGTCAGGAGCAGAGGGACAGCCAGGCAGCTGCGATTTTCCTTCACATCGGTCTTGAAGCCTTTAAAACCAAGAATATGGCATGTATGAGACCGAGATCAGAGTCAGCCATCCCTTCTCTGTTCCAGAAATGTCTCCTCTCCTCTGACAAACACCCCACCTGAACCCCATCCCCACCAGCAGCCCAGAAGCTCTGACAGACCAGGAGGGCTCAGGACCACCCAGGCCAAGCAAAACTGTCCTGGGAGCAGCCCCATGCATGGTGTGATGAGAGGAGAAAACCAAACATCAGTGGCCTCACATCTACCACTCTCACCCCAAAAGGGAAGGGAAAGCACCATCCCACTGACAGCACCTACACAAGGACACACTCTCGCTGTGCGCTGGGTGCTGATGCTCTCCCCACACCCTGAAGCACCCACAGGCACCATCCAGCCTGGCCAAGGGATGGGGAGATGCTCTGCTCCACTCTGGGGCCAACAACTTTGGCTGCAGCTCTCGTCCCAGCAAGGGGAGGGTGCAAGCCCACTGCCTCATTCTGCTCACCTGCACTGTCAGGAGTTCCGTGTCGGTGTCCATGTGTCCATGGGCAAGCACCACGGGCATCTCGGTGCCACAGAGCTTCTCCGAGTGCAGGGCCTTGGCGATGACTGTGACATTCACCTCCCCTGTGGAGTCAGATGTTGGATGTTACTGTGACAATCTTGGGGCTGGCTTCAGCTCAGAGCCATCTTGGGGAGACGGGGAAGGAGGAGGGTGCAATGGGACCGGAAAATGGAGGGAAGAAGCTGGAAAGTGGAGAAGGGAAAGGGGAGAGAGGGGAGGGGAGAGGGAGCTGGGGGCAGAGGAAAGGACCAGAAAAGCAGTGACAAAGAGGAGTTTTACAAGACATCTTCCCCCTCCCCAGCTGTTTCCCATCCCCTCCATACCCAGGCTGCTGGCTCGCACACCCCACTGAAATGTCCTTTCTTCATTCGCGCAGACACAGTCTCTGTGCGCCCCATCCTCGCCCCCTGACACCTCCAGCTCTGCCAGCTCCACCAGCATAACCTGAACCTGCCGGACCATGGCCATGGCTCCATCAGCCCCTGCCAGACCCCAAGTCCAGGACCCCCTCTCCAGCCCCACTCACCCACAGGCACTGCTGCAAGTGGTTGGAGACGGTGGCCATGAGGGTGAAGGCTTCATGGCGGACCACAGCGTAGGGCAGCGCCAGCTCCACGAAGAAGGGCTTGAAGGCCGTGAGGGTGGTGGAAGGGGCCAGCCCAAAGCCCTGCGGTGCCGTGCAGAACATCCCAATTTCCCACTCCATGGTGGTATTGGGCACCATCACTGTCACGTCTGCAGACCCCCCATCCCTGCGGGGTGGTAGAAAATGGACAGGCCTTGCAGGCTGGGTCTGATGAGCAGAGCCAGCAGAAGGAACATGCCACCCCCCTTCCTCTAGGTGCTGGGGACCATCAATAGCCATCACTTGGGCAGAGGCACCATCAGTGCTCTTATCTCTTATGGCATCCCCTGTCTACAGGACTCAGTCTGCCCCAGTCTCTCCTGGGGTTGGTGCAGAGCTCTAAGGGAAGGGGTTGGACATGTCTCAGTCTCACTCCTGGATACATGGACACCAAAACGGATGTCTGGGTGCTGCACTCAGAGGTGAAGCTGATGCAATCAGGGCAGTCCCATGGCTTGAGGTCTGCTTGGGGTCCTTACTCACCCCACAGGGACCAGCTCCCACAGCCACGTCCCCAAGAAATACATATTTGTCCCTGTGTCCTGCATGACACTGTCATCCTCCTCCAGGCCTGCTCCTGCAAACAGGGCCACGACTTGACTGTGCTGCCAGAAAGGACGGAAGGAGGCAGGATCCCCACCGCCCTTTTGCAGCCACCGGGTCAGCTGTTAGATACTCGCCTGAGGAGTCTAAAAGGCTTTCGTGTCTTTGGAGCTGGATGTCTGGTTCACAGCCCAGATGAGCATTGGTGGCAATTTTCAAACCTGCATCCTGAAACATGACATGTAAGAGAGAATAGCACCATGTGGAAGCCCAGAGGTACCAGAACGTCCTTCCACCCATCTCTGACACAAGGAATTGACATGTCTGTAAAGATCCATGCCAGAACAGGGCTCCCAAAGATCAGTAAGCCCCGCTGCAATGAGAGTGCAGGAGTGGAATATCTGTGCCAACGGAAGCAGCTGCACCAGGCACAGTTGGGAAAGGTCTGGTGGATCTGCTCTGCCAGCTCCATTCCCAAACACCCCCGACCCCTGCGTTCGCTGCCAGTGGAAGACACGCACACCCAGAAAGCAGGGGAATGCCAGGACGATCTATGCTGTTTGCTCCAAGCCCAGATTTGTGATGGGAAGAGCAGAGCTTAGCCCCATCCCTGTGAAATGCCATTGTGCCTGGACTGATGGATGCATTTCACGTCTGTCCTTGGCTGGTGAAGCGAGAGGCAGAGCATGTTATTTGGGGGCTGTAAGAGCATGGTTCATGAGCACAGACATGAGCTGGGTGAAGGACCGGGTGCCCCCAGCACCTGGAGTAATCCTTCCTGGGAGGAAGAGGAGTGTGAGGTAGGAGGTCTCATACCATAATGTGGCAGTAGGGTGTTGTTAAGATTTTAGACACCAGAACCTCCCTGCGCCACAGCCTGCGGCGGCATTCTCTCCCGCCACTCCCTGGCGCATCATAGCAGTTAATGGCTGGACGTATTCCCATCCCAAATCCGCTATTTATCCCACAGTTGTATTCTTCGTCTTCAAAATGAGAGGTTTGTTCAGGAAACTTCGGCAGTAAGTTATAGACCTAAACCAAACGTGAACTTTGGGTGAGGAAAACATGAAACGCTCCTGGGCCTAGCTCCCTCCCCTTTTGCCCCTGGAACCACCCTGTAGCTTCTGCCCCTCCCCAGTCATCACAGTGATGCTGCCCTGCCACCGGCCCCTCTGCTGGGACCCACCACTGCCCCATCTCTCTTCTCCCCAAAGCACGGCATGTTCTCCGCTGCCCACACCCTCTCTTCAAGATTTCCACCCCAGGAGGCACCAGGGAGCAATTCTGCAGCTCATCCCCCTCAGTCTCCAAAGCACAATCTCCTCTGAAAAGCCCCAAAGTCCATGAGTACCAGGGGCTCGCTGGGGGCTTCTGGACACTCAGTATTCATCCTGAAGAGGCAACTCCCCCAAGGTCCACTAAAATGGGGGACAGTGGAAAGAAACTGCTGTCCCCATGCCCCACCCATGGGTCCCTCGGGAAGGGCTCATTGCGGAAAAGGACAGCCCAGCTTTGACATTACTCCAGACTCACTGTGCTGGGGCTGAGCTTGACCGGGGAACCAGAGGACTGCGTGTGTTGATCCACAGTGTAGATGGTGCAGAGCGACCCTGGGGAAGCTTGCACCTTCAGGCGGAGTTGTGAGCCCACCAGAGCCCTCTGCTCCAAGGACAGAGTCACCTGGAGAGGGGAAGCCTTTGGGTTAGGGCAGAGGGGGGCTGGTCCCAGGGAGGACCTTTGTGCCGCAGCGTGAACCCAAGCGCCAGTGGAGGATGGAGAGTGAGGACTAAGATCAAAACCAAAGGATGGCTTGCAGCAGCAACAGGAATGGGAGAGGAAGGAAACCCCTCCGTGAAAGGAGAGTCTGGGACCTGCCAGTTGCAGGGGGTGAGGAAAGGCTCTGCTGAAGAGCAAAGTTCAGTGCCCACATCTCACCACCAGGCCTGGCAGCAGCACCCTGACTCCGTCAGCCCTGTCTCACCTTGTTGGGAAAGCACTTGGCCACCTTGAGCTCGGTGCTGTCAGCCACCATCTCACCGTTGGGCAGCACCGTGTAGCCCAGCACTTTGGCCGTGGGTGCCAGCTCGGGGCCGATGGGCAGCTCCAGGGAGAAGGAGCCTCTCAGCCCTGGACCGTGGGGAAGGAGGGGAGATGAGGACCAGGCACAGAGAGCAGAGCCCTGCACAGCCTGTCCATGTCTGTGGACCTACCAGCCTCTTGAGGCAGCTCTCTCCTGAAGACAGTGGCAATGGTCCCCTTGGCCAGGACCTGCAGAGGAGGAGATGGGGACAAGGAAGCGGATGCTGAGTAGGGAGGGAACTGTCACAAGCAGATGAAAGGGAGGATGTGGGGGATTCTCAGGGAGACATTATTAGAGCAGCATCCTGCAGGAGGGATGGAAATGGTGTCCCAAGGCCTTACAGCCCCAGGGTCCATCCCTGAGTCCTGAACGCAAGAGTACCTGCCCGGGGTTGGCTGGAAATGGCTTTGTCTGGAGGGGAAGACTTAGCCCCACACCCTGGACAGCATCATTCTCCTCCCCTGAGCTCTGCCCTTCATGCATAACCTCCCATCTCTCCCCAGGTGAAGGCTCACAAGTAAGACCACGTCCAGACTCTGCTGCTTGATCCCCTCGACATTCTCATCAAAGAAGTAATCCACCAAGAGCCTCTGGGGCTGGCCGCAAGGCAGCTTCCTTTTCACCCTGTGGATCCTCAGGAAGCTTTTGTAGTCCGAATAGAGGAGATTCAGGGAGCGAGTGACACTTCGATACTTGAGATGCTCCTTGCCTTCATGCTCCGAGGCTGGTGGGTAATCCTTGAGCTCACCCTGAGGAAGGGAAATTGAGGCTCTCAACGACAAAGATCAGCTCAGCAGCAGAGCATGTAGGGGTGGAAAGGCACTCTGCAGCCGCAACTACTGCGTGCTTGGCTGTGACATTCCTGCAGGAGCATGCCAAGAAACACAGTCCAGCTGCTGGGTTCAGCCAGGAAAGG